AGATTATAAACAATAAGATTATCAACAAAGCTATCATTCATTTTCAATGATTCGATTGTGATATGATATATATTGAAGTATCTTTGTACATAAATAACGAAATATTAATTAATGATGAACATCAATTAAATATCGACCTTTCGCAAAGTAAATTATTACAGTAAAATTTGTCATCAACATTAAAAAATGAAAAATAAAATTTCTACAAATGTCAAATAGAACAGCAAAATAATAAAAACACAAATATCTTTTTTTTCTCCTTTACATTTCACTAAGCAAAATTTGGAAAAGATAAACATTATTTCTTCCTATTGCATTCAATTAACAAGAATAGATGTATGTAAACTTCTTCTTTTCTATAATCAATCAGTCAAACTTTGAGATCATGACTACATCACAACGAAATAGTCCATATCTTTTCTTATTCTATGTATTAGATAACAACTTTGTCGGTAATCACAGTTGAAAATTATTGTTATCGACTTAGCCGAAATCTTCATTATACTATCAGTATCATGATAGTGACAAACGTAGTTTTAATGAGCATCGAATGTGGTTGAAGTTTTTTATAGGAATTTGTTTGATTTTTTTATGGAAAAATTTTATAGCACTTTGGGAAACGATACTTATGGTAAGTTATTAAATCTTTGCTTTCGAATGAGTTTCTATTTTGATTTAATATGTAATATTCGAATAAATGACCTATAAAGAACATATCAATTGATTTTTATGAAAATTCTTTTGTAAATAAACTATTGTCTATTACATATGTGTGACGCTGAACATAGAGTAGAGAAGTAATTATAACTAAGGTATTTTTATACATAATACGTCGTACATATTTATTAAATTATTTCATATGTTTCAAGGAGTTTCTTTTTCTTTGTTATATGAATATTGAGAAGAAAATCCGAAAATTTTTTCTCATGATAGCATACATGTGTAAATCTATACATAAAATAAATTCTTTCATAATAATGATTTATAACAAAACAAAGAAACCGGATATTTTTATACTATTAACTATTTTTCCATATACTAACATTATTCTCTCGATTGAACGGAAAATCATCCAAAAAAAGAATCACTTCATATTTATTTATAAGTGTTGAAAATAATACACTGATTGAGAATGAACATCTTTATAGATTATGATCTAATAGTGACAAGACATCTAATTCTGAATAAAATCATTCAATATTTCTAAATGTTCTTTTACGTCGACTTACGTTTTAATGATGATAATAGGAAAAATAAAAATATTTAAATGATGATTTTAGATTACGACATGTTCTTCAATGAGAGATATAATGTAGTTATAGTAAGAAAAAACTTAGTTAAAATTTACTTAGATCAATGAAGATGAAGTCTATGAAAAATTTTTCTGCTTAGTTTAATCTGCCTTAAAAAAAAAGCAAAATGTTAGTTTTTGATTATTTTATGTTCATTGAAGCGCATGTCGATCTCATTCGATTTTCTTTAAAATTTTTCATATTTTCATTATAAACGGAATGAGGCGTATCCGAATGTAGGCGAGTCAAGACATTTATATGGAATATATAGTTAAAGATTGAACGACACGACATAATGATTGAGAAGACATGAAGTGATGTCAGTTCAAGGTTTGTTCCGACTTTTTGAGCTTCTTAATCAAGTTTATCATCAAAATCTCATACCATCTTATTTATCTTCTTAATTACACACAAGTGATGATACAACTCTAATGATATGTTTATAAAATAAGAAATATTTAAGATTAAAATAGTTCATTATTTTCATTGAACTATATCAAAAAGTACTAAAATTGTTTTGATAACATTGAATAGAATCGATAAAATTTTAATACTTACAAGTTTTTTAAAAATTAAATTATAATAATATTTTATTTGAAAGATTGATTATTCGATAAAGTACATTAAATAATAATTAATCGAATTCATATGTATCTATTTTAATGAACTCCATAGTTAAGATTGAATAAAGATTGTTTCTGTTTTCTTTTTATTGAAATAGATAGTCAGAAAAAGATCTACTCTATCAAGATTACTTGTAATAATACATCCAGACCTTTTTTTTCCCATATCATTATGAAAATGAGAATGAGTTCGCGTGTTATCTGGGTTTGTATTTAGCATATCTATTTTTAGTAAAGTTCAATTTTAGTAGGAAACCTTTTATTATGGTTCGATAGATATTTGAGAGAAATTTTTAATGAAAATAAAAATAGATTGAATCATTTTGAGAAAAATTCTTAACATTTCATATACATATGTAAGATTTTGATAAATTATTTATACAAAAAATCAAAATCATTTTCTAATTAAATTCAAATGAAAAATTTTCACGTCTATTTAAAAAAAAAATTTATTTAGTTATTTATTTATTAAATATTTTAAAATACATAGTTAAATGAAATAATTCGAAAATATCCATAGATTTATCTTCAGAATATGTAATAATCTTCATCTATATGTTCAATTATTTGATATCATCACGAGATTTTTTTTTAATTTACCATTTTTATGAGAGAATTATTTGTAATATTAATTTTTTGATCATTGAAAATAATAATTTTTTTCCTGACTAAAACATCAAAAATAAAATCTATTTATCATAAATTTAATTCATATAACATCTTATTTAAATCGTTCAACATCTATACTTTTATTAATATTTTTAATAGTACAATAGATAATACAATCAATAGATCTATTTTAACACGAGAATTACTTCAAACTAATTTCTGGTTATTGAAATCTTTTTTTTTTTTTGTGTTTTCATGAACAATAGTTAATCTAATTTGTTTATAGTGTGGTCTTGTTACAAGATAATATTCACATTATAACTATGGTTCAATTGTATAGAACACAATTATTTGTTAATTTCATTTTTATTGAACATATATATATATATATATATCATTACCAGTAAGAGCTTATTTTTTTTTTGCCAACATTGATTGTTACATATCATCAAATCTAAATGTTCGTATAAGTTTATTTAAACGAAAATATATATAGATCAATGTAGGGTAATATATACAATATTGATTCTTTGTCGATTACGTAGTCTAGTAAATTGATATTATCCAAATAGAATTTGTCGCATGGGTAATGATATAATATCTCGAATATTTTTTTTTTCAAGAATTCCATTAATATTAATGCTTGATTTTGATTAAATTATTATGAAGAATGTAAAAAAAATAAGTCGTCAATAAGTTAATCTGAATAGATTACGAAAATAGTCATCATCATTCAATAGAAATAATGTTTATCAAATATTTATAATGTTTTTTAGGGTGTGGGTGTACCCACGCCTCAGATTTTATCGACAAATTAAATGTTTATTATTAGAACTTCGTCTATTCACTATTATAAAAATTTATTAACCTAATCTAAACAGTGATGAAGCCAGGATTTTGGACTAGGCAGGAAGAATCAATTCTCTTACAGAGCTCCCCGGCGAGATTTTTGAAGAAAACAATACATCTTTGAAAAATCTCGCTAGGAGGACGCAAACCTCTTTGTCCTCCTAGCCTGATCACTGAATCTAATACAAGTTCTAATAATTCATCATCATTATTTAAATGACTTCTTTATAAAAATGTAATTGAATTTCTTCTAGTTCTTTTTTTTTTTTGTATTTTGATCTCAGGTTATCTAATTATTACACTTTTATTTTTGTAATTTTTAATCTATTAATTTATACATAAATAAAATTGAGTTTATTTCTTAAAATTATTTTTCTTTTATTGACAACTACTCGATCAACAAGCGTGTCATTGATTTGACAACTCTAGAGAATTAGAATATTGTCTTAATAGACAAATTCCATTCTAATCTATTCCAGTATTATTATTTGTAGGTTTCGTTTCAATTTAATATGTAATTTGTTTTTTCCGCTAATCAAATCTTGTCAAATGATAAAGATCATTATCACATATTTCTCTGTTTTTACTTTATATTTGATTATAATGATAGTTTTTTTTTTGTATAGATCCTCATCGATCAAATACTTAATTGACCTAAGCAATTTCATGCTCATATATTTTCTTTGTAACAATAAAGTACTTATAGATTACTTTAATGTTTTTGTTCATTTCCTGCCGAAATGAAAAAAAACATTAACCTTTATGTCATTACAAAAACATTTATATATATATATATATATATGTATACGAATGTTATTTTTCTAATGTTTTAAAACGATAATTGCAAGTGTTCATAAAAAATATTCAAAAGAAAAACAGATTAGATCTCTTTTTTTTTTCTTTCTTTTCATTAGCATTAATTGATCGATTCGGTGAGAAGGGTTTAGAAACACACGATTTGCAAATAGAACAATACGAACCAATGTTGTTGGAATGTCCGTGACGAACAATGATTGTTTGTTAAATTCGGATCGATTTTCCGGAGATATTATTAGAAGGAAAAATATGTACGAGTGTATTTCCTTTAACTAATTCCATTTTCTTTCAGTAAATATAAGTATCAATCATTTTCAACATTATCTCAAAAGAATATTTATCCAATTAGAAGAAAACAAAAAAAACAACAGAAGAAGATATGCTTTTAATTTCTTTCGGTCTCACATCAATAAGTGTTCAAGGAAAAACAGTAAGCAAACGTTTTTATATCATTGACATTGAAAGTACTTCTTATTCTATTTTTTCTGGTTTGTCGCTTTTTTTATCGTGCGCATTGATCTTCACCAGCAAAAAAAAACTGAGAGAAAAAAAAATCGAAATAATACGATCTTGCAGTACAATATATAGATAGAGAGATACTTCCTTTATTTCCTTTTTCTCTCTCTCCTCCCTCTTGTTTTTTGTCAATCTCGAATCCGATCGGAAAAATAGAGAAAAAAAAAAAGAGAAAAAAAAAGTTCAGAGACCAAGATTCACGATATATAAATCGAGCGACGATACCTACTCTCGATTGCATCACTTACAACAAGTTTTCTTTTGCCCCCAAATCACTATAATGACTACTACCAATATGTCAATGATGATTGTTGCTTTAATTATTACTACAATGTGCCTATTAAGTACCAATGGCGAAGAGGAAAAGGTAAGTACTCATCTTCATAGGAGTTAATAGTTCTTTTCTAGTCAATATTAAACATCATTTTTTAAGACTGACTACTGACTAACAAACTGTAGTTTCGTTCTTTTATTAAATGTTGAAAAATACAGGCAGGAAATGATTACCCAAGGCGTTGCTTTCTCATTTAATACAGTCTAATTAGATTCAACAATATTACAAAAAATATTCTTGATGATACTATAGGTAACTTTGTTTTTCTTTTAATTAGAAAGAGTCAATAAATAAATTGTATTCTTGAATTTAAGTTTAATATTAAATCAAGTTAATTAAGAAAACCTTTATCGTACATTTATTATTTGAATAAACAAATAATTAAAATGAATTGTTATTCAAGGATATCTATCATAAGAATAAAATAACTTGAATTTTTAATTTAAAAATAGTTTATCTAACAAATATTGTTTCAAAGGTTGTTTTTTTCTCATATATAATATTCTCATTTTCTTTTCAAATGATCTATTAATGATAGATATATTTATTTGAGAATATTTAATTTATTTGTATTCTATTTTAGAAACGTACACTTGATTCATTATCTGGTTCGGATTTTTTCAAAAAAGTAATTTTTATTCGAATTAATACATATTTCTAACACAATGTATTTTCAATTATCTAGAGTCTTGATAGTCTTTCGGGCAATGATTTTTTCAAACGTGACAACGAAGTAAATAGTATTATTGTTTTCTTCTTAATTTAATTTTTGTTTTTATTTTTTGTTGTCTAGAAACGAACACTTGATTCCCTTTCCGGTTCGGATTTCTTCAAAAAAGTAATTAAAAAAAAATATACTAAAATGAAAATAATTATAGAAATTTTGCTTGGTACTATTTATAGAGTCTTGATTCACTTTCTGGTAATGATTTTTTTAAACGTGACGAAGAAGTAAATATTTTATCATTAGATTAATTAGTGAAATTTAATTTTTTTTTGTTTTTAATAATAGAAACGTACATTAGATTCACTTTCCGGCTCTGATTTCTTTAAAAAGGTTTGTTCGTTTTTTTTTTTCATTTCTACTTTTTTTTCTCGATCACTTTTTTTTAGAGCTTAGATTCATTGTCTGGTAATGATTTTTTCAAAAAGGTATTTATTTCAAGAAAAATAATATCATATATTTCTCTAAAATCATTATTTTCTAGAGTTTGGATTCGTTAAATGGCAATGATTTCTTCAAGAAGGTATTTAAAAAAAAAAGAAAAAGAAATTTTTCAAAATTTTTATTCAAATAATATTCTATTTGTAGAGTTTGGATTCATTGCATGGAAATGATTTTTTCAAAAAGGTATGGTTTATATAATTAACAAAAAAAAAAAATAATAGTATCTTGTTTTTGATATTTCTAGAGTTTGGATTCATTATCTGGCAATGATTTTTTTAAACGTCATACCAAGGCACGAGAACATGCTATTGAAGAATTATTACGACATTCATTATATCCACATATGTCACGTGAACATTTTCATTCTCGTATGCATAAACAAAAAATTGATGATGATAAAGATAAATAGACAAACTCCTTGATTTCAAAAAAAAAAATAAAAAAATATAGCAATAAATAACATGCTAATTTTAACGACAAATATTCTGTGAAATTTATTTCTTTATCCGAATGAAATTTTCTTCTATTCGTCAATTTCTTTTGACAAATTTAATTTAATAAATATTAATAATAATTAAAAGTTGTTGTTATTTTTTGTTTTTTTTGTTTTTTGATTTTGTATATAGAATCAATGATACGTTGATTTATTTTTTTAGTTGATCTTCAAATTATTTGACATTTGATTGACATATCAAAATTTATATTGATAATATCAATCATTCATCACTATCGTCATAGCTTATCTCATATTTATCATAACTCGATAATATTCTATACAACTGAATAAACCTTGAAAAATATTATACTTTATAAATGATAAAAGAAAAATAGAAACATCTTGTTTTATTTGATAGTTTAGGGTATGAATAACTTTAGAAAACATGATCGTTTGATTATTTTATGATATGAATTACATGAATATTTGCGTTTAGGATATTTGTACGGTTAAGACCTATCTGTATCTAGTGATGAATATTGGTTGTTCCCTAATATTTCTATCGACCACTATGTGATTCAATGAATTAGAACATAAGTCATTGGACAACATTTCCCAAGAAAGAATAATCGTTATCAACAGGATTTTTTATATTAACACAGTCATTCAAGAGCGTTATCTATAGTAAATGTTCTGATCAATTGATCACATTTGATAACATTTTCCCTCGCGCATTGAATCAACAGAGACTCAAATAAATCCAAGAAGAAAATGTTACGTTTGTGCCAGTGCTATGAGAAGAACCAGATCAAGAAGAGATACTTCATATGAATGCATTGAATGTGATGTAGGATTGTGTCTGATGGATTGTTTTAAAGACTATCACACTCTACAAGCATTTTAATTCATGTACTTTGTGATATTTTTTGCGAAATAAACGTTAGTTTGAAATTATAAAAATTTTTATTATATAAAAATAATCCGGTACTCAAAGAGTTAAATACTAGAAACCCGATAACATCATAGAATGCAGGACCTGCTATGGAGATAAACTATTTTCTCCTGCACATGTAGGAATAGGACCATTGGTTTTTTTAGAATGCAGGACATCCAAGTCATTCAGTGATGTTTTAGTATAGCAGTCAAACTTGTCGTAATTTTCCATTACAGTGAATAGTAGTCAGAAGAGCGAGTGCCGTACCAACAACTAATGTTTTGATGGAAAGATTATTTAGCTCACCTGGATTGATATTTACTCCAAAGATGGTCACGTTTATCACCAAGTTACATTGATAACATCTTATTGATTCGTTTGTACGAGAAATTCAAGAAAACATTATAAAAAGAAAATTGATTACTTCTTGTTGTTCATCTATTTATATTGATAATATTTTGAATTCTGTATTTTTACGCTTATTTTATTCATCCTATGGATGTCAAATATGTTTTTTATTGTTGATTTTATTTTTACTAAAAAAAATGCAATAAAGTTTATTAAGATAATTATTTTGTAAACGATTCTTGTATAAATAGTATGTCTATGATATTTAACATCGTACTTTATATATAGACAAATTCTTTTTCCTTGTCCAGTAAGGACGAACTTTTTGATATCCTGTCCTGTCTTGTATCTCACAAAATAGGATGATTGAGTGCTCGTGTACTGTATTTTGCAGGTTAGGATGAAGAAAACCATTCTGTGATGTTTTGTGATAGAGAGTATTTTATGGGATTAAACAGTAATCTTCTCTTTAAAGCTTAAATTTTGAAATATTAATCCTAATTTTGATAATGACAATGAATCTGATCGAAAATGACATCTTTACCTTATAGATAACTTTTCATTTCCCGTATGTTTTATATACAATAAAATTCCTATAAGACTTTAAGATTTCATTTTTTTTGCAACATCGATGAATAAAAAAAAACGTCGTTTTTACTAGTGACGTCTTCTTATTATCCGATAAAGAAGGTGTTCACGACATCTAACAAATAAATCAGATAATCAAATGCACTTGTTCTGTCTGCTAGACAAAAACATTTTCATAGTGTATATTTGTCTAGAAAACACATGCAATCACCTGTAATAGAAAAAAGACACGAAATAATTCTAATAACATGGAAAATGAATAAAAGAAAAACAACGATGATTTCCTTTGAGAAAATATCGTCATTGCTTTATTTAAACTAAGGAGACAACCTAACATTTCTTTTTTGTTAAATGATTGTCAATATGACAAAATCTTGTTTATGATAAAGATATATTCATTTGAATTTAAATAAGTGAATGTTAACATAGGATTAGTAAAACATCAAGGAAAAGAGGTTCTATTATTGGTTTTCTGCTGAACGATTAGCAGATATTAATATTATTTTTTAAATATCCTCAAAGGACATAGCGGATAATTGTTTGCTACGAAAGGTCTGATTAATATAAAAGAATTATCTCTAGAAAAAAAAAATTATTTTTTTCCTAAATAATAAGAAACGTGATGTTTTCCCCTGTTAATAACATGTACGTTTTGGTCAAAGAAATTAATCTGGAAAAATAAAAACAAACATGAAATGACTGTTAAAAACTCTATGATACAGACTATAATAACAAGTAAATTGTTCAATAGTTGTGAGAAATAATAGCCAGTGAATTTCACTTATGAGGTCAATAATGTTTGATAATATGGGTGAGCCAGAAAACCTTTCTCATTCTGTATAATAAATATTCCTATATTAATCAATCTACTTGAAGTACTGTTTTTTTTAAAAGAAAATAGAAGAGAGATTTTTCTTTCAGGTCTAGTAGACCTAAACTTCAGTCGGATCGCACGGCTCGACTTCTATTCTTTTTTTTTAGGCCAAATTTCCTACATAATAAAATAGAAAAAAATCAGATTCTAATCGATCTTTTCCTAACTAAAGCATCGATTAAAATGATGCTAGTCGAATACGGTAAAAAATCTGATTTTTCAACTTTGAGGATAGATTTCATTTAATTTTAATTTTTCTTCAGCAGCTTTTAAAAACAGTTTTAATCGATAAAACTATATTGATCGATTACAAAAAAAGCTAAAATCAATTGAAATCTATGATTAAAGCGGAAAAATCAGATTTCAATCAGAATTAAATAATACCATTTGAATCGATTTTATTCTGATTTTTCGCCATAATTTCTTATATGGATTTTGCTCCTCGTAACTGGTAACAATTAGAAATCTTTATTATGCGAACGTTTTGGAAATTTCATTTAGTTAATAAATAAAAGTAAAGCATTTATTTCGATTCAATGAAATTTCTCATCCACATACAAGGTCGAGTGCACTGTCAACTGCATAAAGTTGCACGGGCGTTACTGAAGTAGAACAGTGGTAACTGTATACTAAAATTCACCGTGTAACTAAAAATAGTAATCGATCTGACTCTTTGAAATTGATCAATCGGAATTTTACTCGTGAAAGCTTATGTTAATAAATGATAGTCTTCAAGAAATTGTAGTATCCGCGAACGTATTTCGGTCTTTCGATGCAATAAGTAATTTAACTTATCTTTCGCATTGTTTTTTCAAGTATAAAATTGTTTAGTTTCATCGTGTAGAAATCCTTTTTGTAAAAGAAATATACTTTTAATTGTGCCACTCGGAGCTGAGCCAGGTTAGGCAGGCATGAGCAATCTTTGACCTGGTACGGACTGGGTCTAACTGTTATAACTTTCAATTAAAATTATCACTATCAACCGTGGTTATAACTTTGGACTATAGTTATAATCGTCACCCATGGTCAGAACTGCATAGTTCAGTTATAATCTCTAAATGTAAATTTACTTTCCGTTGATTATTTGAATGAAAAGAAATGAGTGAACGAGTAGCGAGGATAAGAGTGGAGTGAGAGTTCGTTAGGGTGGCATCTTATGTATACTCTCGCCTTACATCCTCAGATTTTTTTTAGAAATCAGAAAACAAGGGGAAAGCGATTTTCATTGTGTTGAAATTCCTCTTTCATTGTTCTATTAATATAGTATACTTTATTCTATTTTTATTTATTTATTCAAACACTATCAAAATGATATTTCAGAATTAAAAACCGATAAAAAGAATATAAATGTCGAGTTAAGTCAGTATGAGCAAAACTAAAACGTAATTCAATTCCGAATATATTTTCTTATAGAACATACAGTTAATTTCACAGTTAAACACATTACCTGATATGCTTTTTTGTGATAGTAGCAGATGAGTAGATTTCGAAGCGAAATTCTTCAACGGCTCTCGAAAGTGCACTTCTCAACATATAGAATATTTTTTTGTTAGCAGGTAATTGACACAACATGCTATTGTTATTAAGGTTTTTTAATGTAATTTTATCCTTTCTTCTCCACTATGAAAAAGTCACTTGAGAATTATCGTACGGAATGTATTAGAAAGCTTTTTTTCAAAACGCTCTTTCTATTGAAATTTAAAGAAAAAAAAACAATATATTTCGACCATTTTCTGGCGAAATATTCGAGAACTATTTATCGAGTAGAATCTGTAGTAGAAAAACGGTGAAAATGTCAAAAGTCCAATAAATCTTGTGAAATACGATGTAATATAACTCTTCCTAATAAAATGTCTCCCTGGAAACCTCTTCTTCTTCAGAACTATTGTCAAAAGACTTGAGTCTTCTAACATATACTAAATTACTGATATTGAAGTATGATAAAAGCGCTATAAAAAATTGATTCCGTGGCATCGCTGATGAAAAATTTTTCGGCAAGAGAGTTACTTTCTGTCATGGGAAAAATCGATAAATAGCAAATGTATTGACAGGAAAAACGAACCCAAGAAAAAAAAAACTAAATATATGCACTCTGTACAAACAATTTATAGAGTTAAAAAATCAAAACAAATTTCATGATTTTCATGAATTTTATATCAAAAATATGGAAAAAATGATATTTTACATGATGAATAGAACATCAAAATTGATGTATTTCACTTTCATTAATTAAAACAGACATTTTAATCAAACAAATGTCATGAAAATAATTTTTAACCAACATAATGCACTTAAATTGATAAAAATAGACATTTTTATCAATAAAATTGAAATAGAGCTTGTCCGGCTAACGGTCAACCAGACTGATTAAAGTAGAACCTATCTATTTCTCAAGGCTGACTATATCATGTTGTAGAGAACACTTTGCTCTGTCAGAAAATGTAGTCGTTTCTTTTTTTTCTCATAAAGGAGAGAAAAGATGCACGACAGACAACATAGGTAGACTTCTTGAAATATCTATCCGTTTTCGTGCTTTTGAAGAAACTTTTGAAAAAAGAACAGAATTTTAACTAAAAATTGAAGCGTCATATATATTACGCATGGCGAGGTTTGGACTTTCTTCTGATATAATTTTCAGCTGCTTTATGAGTAGTAGAAAAAAACAGGGAATATCTGAAAACTCCATAAAATCTGAAGTGAGTGCGTTACCAATTAGGGCTTTTAGTTTAGTTTACGCCACAATCATACAAGCATTTAAGTTGATACTTAAGAACTTCCGTTACCTTTCCATGAACTATCAAAGGGCTAGATTGGTTTTTACTTACATGTTTTTTCTGCCGAAAAAAATGGTAACGCACTCACCTTACCGACCCACTTCCATGTTTTAAACCCCATATATGTATGTTTGATGAGATGGATTGCTTCTATAATAAATGGCTTTCAATATGATTTATTAATGTTGCTATCTTATAGAGATGTCAACAAGCCATGATTTCTCTTGGCTGCACGTATCAGGCTTTAGGTTAAATTAGGTCTGGCAGGTGGACCTACCATCGGAGCTTAGGAGTTCACCAATTCATATTTGATCGGTTGATATGTTGACTGAGGATACGTGTGAATTACATTTTGCACCTTCATCATATATTTCATAGAAATCTCGACTGGCTATTTCCTCCTTTTTCGCAAAGAAATGACAAAATGAAACGAAAACCGAAACCATTACTCGATTGAAATATGGCATAAAAACTTAATAAATGAATATTTCAACTAGAACAATTTTTCAATAATATTTTGTCAAAGAAATAGATATAAAATTCATACATTCTTGTTTCTGGACGAAATATGCTATTCAGTATCGATTATAAGAGTGATTTAACAGATAACGGAAAAGTACTTGTGATATACTAACAGTTATGGAAGCACAAACATTAGCTCTACGACACTATTTCGTATCCTATTTTTTATTGTGAAATCTTATATAATTTTGCTACCAAAGTCGAAGAAAGCTATTTTAACACGTCTGAAGTGTGAGAGAAAACAACAAGTCCGCCAGGAAAAAAAATTAGAATATGAAAAAGTGAGTGCGTTACCAGAACGTGAGTGCGTTACCGTAATATTTTGACTACAGGTCTAAAGCAGCACAATATTTTTAGAAGATTGTTTTACCATTAGATAGCCCTAATTTTCTGCTACAAACTTTCTATGAATCATATCTCTTAATAACTGAACCATTCGCAGGAATCTTAACATTTCTGATACCACTAAGAAAGGGAAGGGCCTTTTTTGTGAGTGCGTTACTGTCCTGTATTTTCCTTGTAAAATTTGAATAATAAAGCCGATCAGGGTGAAACTTATAGTGGTTGTACAGTTTTGCAAGATGCATATATGCACCAAGTTGCAAGGCTTTACGCTTTACCGTTAGAGAGAAATTCAAATCGAAACTTGACAAAACGTGAGTGCGTTACCTGCGGACAATCTCAATACATCAATTTTAATGTTTATTTCATCATTTAAAAGCAATTCCTTTTTACTTTTCGGCTATATGGATGCATTTTCTTGCACTATATTCAACTCAACGTATAAATACAAGGAAACTTAATTTGCAGATGAATACATAAAACAAAAATATTTAGAAAAGAATTTATAGCTGCTGATTGTCTGAAATAAAAGAAAGCATTGAAATCCATATATTTTCATCTATTCTATCAAACAGGTTGCCTAAATCAAAGTAGTTATTATTTCAACTTAAATAAATCTGTTGAAAAAAAAATTAAGAAGTTAATCGCTTTAAAATGACTGATTGTTATAACCCAAGTTATAACCATTTTGACTTTTCGTCATTTTTCTCAACTATCAATTTTAAAAAGAAAACGCAATTTTAACTACCACCATGTCGTTAGCTAATTTAGTAAGAAAGTTATTAATCTAGAAAGGTCTGTCATATTTAAATATGACTTGTAACCGTTAATATTTAAAACATTAGAAAAGAAAGAATTTAGAAGGCTTCATACAGTTCAAGCAGTCGACTACTATAAATAAATCATTATGAAATTTTTTTATTCTTGATGCATCACATACTAATCGATCTTTTATTGATCTATTATTCATTGTAATGATTCTAGATGTAATCGAAGAATTTCTTCATAAAATTATAATTCATCAGTAATGTTGTTTTTTATTTCTATAGAACTCTCCTGTTTTAAAGACGTAAGTAATATAAGAAATTGATTGTATTTCATTAATGTGTCAGACATAAAATTAATTATAAAACAATATTATATTGATTTCTTAATGTGAATCAATTGCTTCAATCACATGAAGTTTTCTATGTTCTTTTTTTTTGAAATTTATGTTTAAATATTACAAACATTTCTAGATTATTAACTTTCTTACTAATTAATTTATAATCTTTTTTCAAAGAGATATTTTAATATACATTTATTAGTAAAGAAATACTTATTACACAGAATAAGACGGAACTTTTGGATCACTCTTTATTTAAGTATTTATGATATCTTGAAAAAATAAAAGAACTATTATCATTGTACTTTTTTCAAAACATCAAACATAAATATTTCATATATTATAAGTATTCTTAACAAAGTTTTGATTCATTTATTTTTATATTTGATATTTTTTTTTCTTTTATTGGAATTAGAAAGAAAAATAATTTTCTTTTTTATCTGTGTAAAAGCAAAAACTAATGACAAATCTCATATTACAGTAAACATCTTGAATCTGCAAAAAAAAGAAAAACGAAATAGTTTTCATTACAAAAAAAAACCCAACAAACGTGAAAGATATTTCAAATATTCAATGATGTTCTATTGTTTTCATATTATAATCTTGAACAAGTTTATTAATAAATGTACCAAGTGAAACAGGTAATGGTTGAATATGTTCAAAAAAGAAAGCATTAATTTGTGCACCTAATATCATTATAAAAGCAAAATAGAAAAGAAATAATATTAAAATAATTGAAAAACCAATTTGACCTGTATAACTCATCATATATTTTCGAATATAAAATGGAAAAAATATCATAAATAATTGAAGAGCACTAGCAGCAATAATTGCACCACACCATGTTTGTTTAAATGTCATTTTTTTATTTGGTATTAAAAAATAAATTATTTCAAATAAAAGAAATGTTAAAAATAAACTTGATAGAAATCCAAAGAAATATGTACTAAAACGACTACCTATATTTGAAATCATATTTGAAAAAATTGATGGAATTGATGATGTTATTATCATTAATGGAATAAGTATAAGAAAAAGAAAAAATATTTTAATAGATAAAAAATATTTTTTTAAAAATTTTCTTTCTTCAATACGATAAATAATTGTTAAACATTTATCAATAGCAATAAATAATCTTAAACAACCAATAATAGAAAATAATATTCCAAATATTAAAATAATTTTAGCATCATAATATAATTTTTCAAATGCTAGATTTATTATTTCATTTAAACTATCATTGATTTTTGGTGGAAATGTATTTATTATATTCATTTTTATTTGATTTTGTAAATTAATATTATTACCAAGAATAAGACCAAGTATACCAAATAAAATTATTGCCATAGGTAATAATGCAGTAAGTAAATTAAATGCTATCATACCTGATAAAGTAAATGACCAATCATTTTTAATTTTTTGAATAAATAAACGATATGGTTTTGTTTCATTTTTTACATTTTGATATAAATTTGTATTAAAAATTCTTGACTCCATTAGTTTTACTTTTCAAAGAACTTTTACACTATTATATATAATGATGAACTATTTTGTATGCTCGTTTTTTTTTATGTTATCAGTGTACACGAACATGTATAATACTTTTCTTTTTTTTTTTTTTTGCCCTTTCGTTTTGTCGTCCATAGTAAATAAACAAATATCTTATTCTATGTAATTAATCTTAGAGTCATGATTTTCTAATGAAATCTATTAGTTATTGAGAAAAAATTTTATGTTGTCTTTTCTTTTAAACTTTTACTTTATTAGAAATCATTTCTCTGATATATTAAGGAATGGTTTTTTTCCCGTCAGTTTGATTTGAGTCAGATACGTCACTATGAAATTTACTAAAGGTTACATGTGTACGTTTATATCAATAAGATTAAGAATGTTGTCACTGGCTTAATCAATCAAACATTATGAAGGATGACTAATATGAATTGAGTATAACAGTAAATGTCATCGTATTATCTCACCTTGTCAATAAATAAAACAAAACTTATCATTGTTTTTCATATAATGAGATCTTCAATGAATTTGTTTTGTTTTTTATATCATCAGAATTGAGAAATAAATGAATTTAAATAATCGAAATAAAATTATTTTAGTTATAGAAAGATCTTTACATGATATATTTTAATACGACAAAAGAACAAAAATATTAAAACATAATTAAATCAACAGAACAAAATATTATGTCGATGTTAATTAGCACGTGATATTTTCTATAGATCATATTTTTGTCGAGTACATAATCTTGCAGCTATGATTCTAGTAAAAAAAGACTGTAGTTTTTTGTTCAAAATAATGAAATATTTTAGACAAATTTTTAACTCAATTAAAGTTTTAACAAACAAATGAATTGTAATATACGTAGAAAATGGTCGAAGTCAACAGATAAAACTCTGAATGATCTAACAGTTCTGAAGTCTTACAAATCTAGAAGAACTAAAATCACTCATACCCGAAGACATTATCCCTATGGAATAAAAAAACTTATTATAAAAGTAGTTAAATGTCAAAAATAATAAATCCTTGGTGAAAACTTTATTTACGTTTTAATCAATAGAATATAACACGACATGCATGTACATAGCACAGCAGTGAGACTGAGAACAAAATCTATGATTACAAAGGATTTAGATTTTCAATATTTAGCCATCAAACTAACTAATTTATTTATTACTATCATCTTGTAACATTTGGCTTTGTATAGATTTGAATATAATCATTGAAGGTATCAATAGAATTTATTTCTAATGCTAATTCACTGTCTAGTAACAATACTTTTCAAATTTTTTTGTTTTTTAAATTCAGATCCATACAAAAAAAAACCAAAACCTCGATATAAAATAGTGCATATATTTTTAGAAAAAGAAAAAGCAATGAAATAAAATAATACACTTATTAAGCGAATGCTTGAGAGGAGGTGTCTAATAGTAAGAAGATTTTGAATCGAAAAAAAAAAAATTCTTAAACAGATGAACAAGAAAAAGACGAAACAATTGTTTTCTTCATCATAGATCAGATCCAATAACCAAAACAAGCAAATAATTAACTAGAAGTAAGCAACTAAACAAACAAAACTGTTTCAATGAGAAAACAAAAACAAGAAAAGAGAAAAAGAAACAAAAACAAATAGAATTACATTCTAGACACCGTCCTATAAATATATATATACACACACACACAGATATATATTTTTTAATACTAAGTCAATGAACGATTTTTTGATGAACTTCCACCTGTTAATGATGGTGGTGATGCTGAAGCATCCGAACGAAAAATTTGTCGTTTTTGTTTTCCTGTTAATGTTGGAGTAGTACGACCTGATGTATTAGGACTTTCTGTTGACATTTTAGTTGTATGTGATATATTAACTAATGCTGGATTTTGAGTTGATATTTTTTCATATTCTATAAATGGATTTCCACCATCAGAAGCTATTGTTGGTGCTAATGATGATGTTCTATCACGTGCACTTCCTCCTGTAACACTATCTTGTCCAGCAACACTTCCTGTAGCAATCACTGGATCAACATGATCAGCCCTTTCTAATTCTTGTGTTAATAAATCAATTTGTTCACCATCAGAATTAAGCATAAGTGTACCACCATTAGCAGTTTGTCGATTTTCAAAATAAGTTGCTCGTACAGCAGCTAACCAATGTACACGACGTATACGTAAAATTTGTACATCTTCACTAACACGTACACTAAAATCAGGTATAAATGGACGAAATTTATTTGATTTTAATCGAATAAGATCGTCAACTTTTTCATCAGAATTCTATAAAAAAAAAAAAAAAAAAAAAAAGATAAATTTATTTCTAATGTCTTTTTGTTTTAATGTAAACAAAAATAAAAAAAAACAGTATTTCAATCTTACATAAAGTGCACTAACACCAAAATAAGAAAATGAACCAATTTCACTAACAATTTTTTCTTTTCCCGTTTCTAATTCTGCTTTACCATTAACAATAAGTACAAAATAATCCACTGGTTTACCATATTCATATATATATGTTATTTTTCCAGATTTAGCATCATCTTCATCAAATTCAAATTCTTTATATAAATCAACATTTAATAAACGACTTAATATATGAGCTGATATAAACTTATCACGAAAAGGTTCAACACCTAAATAAACAAAAATTATTTTATTATTAAATACAAAAAAATAATAACACATGTCATACTTGTTGAAAGAAATTGAAAAACAGCTACTTTCATTTGTGCTGATATTTTGCTTGCAACAGCATTTGTTGCTGTACGAATGAATGCTGAAAAATCTGGTGCTTGAGAAAGCATATTTCGTACTTTACGACGATTATCAGCTAAAATGAAATATATGAATTTTTATTATTCATTTTTTTGTTTTGTTCTTTCTACTTACTAAATACATCAGTTTCATCAATAATTTCTTCTTGAATCATTTCTTCAATAATATCTTCTAATGTAATAATACCAACAGCTTTTGCTTTTGGATCTTTTTCACTTGTATTATCATATTCAACAACAACACCTAAATGATATTGTTCTAAACAAGGAAAAAGATTATTTATTAATTAACGTTTTTTTTTTTTTTGTTCTTTCTATTTTTACCTTTTTTAAATAGATTAAATACATCATAACTTGAATCATCTGGTGTTATAGCTGTACCATAACGATGTTTATAAAAATTCATTATATTTCTTACAGTAAATTTTCCTGATTCTGTATCAAGTAAAGCAAAATCACGTATATTTACAAGACCAATAACATTATCTCTAAAAAATATAATCGAAATAATCTATTAAATGTTTTTTTTTTTGTCATCTAAAATTTGAAAAATAATAAACAAACCGTCGTCCTTCATAAACAGGTATTCTTGAATATCCATAACCATGAACATTTAAAACAAGTTCATCATCAACAATACGATTTGCTTCAAGCATAAAAACATCAATTAAATTTGTCATAACATCACGAATTTTTTTTCCTTTTAAACTAAGTACACCAGTCATAATAAGTTTTTCACGATCTTCAATATCAGTTGTTTGTGTATGTTTTAATAAAGCACTCATTTGATCACGTGTATAACGTGCACCAACTTCTTCGCCTTAAAAATTATAGAAAAGAAAAAAGAATGTAGTTTTCGAACTATTAAAAATATTAAATGTTTTGTTTTTTTTTTTTCGTTTGTTCGAATTCTTAAAATATAAAAATCGAGCATTAAGAATCTGATAAACAGGAAGATGATCATTATCATCTTCTAGTAAGAATATTTTGACATCGGAGATCTAGAGCATGATTTAGTATATATTACTAGTCGATAATTCAATTATAACTATTTTCATAGACGATTAACCAATATATGTATATATATATATATCAATAAAGCTTCTTAAAAGAAAACATTTCTAAATTGTTAAATAAATATTATTTTTTTTCATTACAAGGATTTTGTTTGAAATATTTATTCAAGTTATGATTAATATAAAAGTACATTCATGTCAAAATAACCTTATTATTCTTTCGTTTATGAGTATTAATAACATGTATCTTTCAGCTATCTTATAATACTATTCAAACGAATACAGTTTTTAAACAAAAATAATTTATCATACTAATTCAATTCTAGATATTTTCATAATAGAAATGTTAGTATTATATATATATATAAATTCTTACCTAGAATTATATCAAGTAATTTACTTAATGGATAAGATATTGGCAATGTTGCACACATAAAAAATTTTGTTAAAAGAATTGTTTGTGAACCAACTTTAAGACCATGTCGTGAACATATAGCTTGTGGAATAATTTCACCAAAAATAACAATAGCTAATGTTGCACCAGCTACAGCTAAACCACCGCTAATTAATGTATCAAGTAAAATAGTTGTTGTTGAATTAACTAATACATTTCCCAACAAAATTGTACATAATAAAAAATTACCATGTTTACGTACAGGAAAAATTTTTTTTGCATATTTACGATCATTAGGTGTACCAGCTTCTTGTATAACAACTAAATCATGTGGTGTTAATGACATTAAACCAAGATTTAATCCAGAAAAAAGACCTGATAATGATAGAAGACAAATTAAACAAATGATTGTTGCCCAAACAGGTAATGCACTACGGGTAACTCGAATTTTTAATGCAGGTCTTAAGAAAAAGAAAAAAAAAGAAGAAATTCAATAGAAAAGAAAAAAAACAACTATCTATGATTACCGATTTCCTTGATGAAATACTTCATTGGAATTAGATGGTGTTAAACACATATATAAAGTTGAATTATAATATGGCAAATTAAGGTGAATATAAGCACGTTCACTCATACGTTCATGTGGATCTTTTTCATCAACAAGTAATTCATATATTTTATCTTTACGTTCCCATTGACAAGATTTAGGATGAGTTGTAAAAGATAATTTGGCACCATTAAGATTTTCACCTAAGAAAATAATAATAATAATAAGATTTTATTAACCCTTTCAGAACGGGTGATACACCGTATGTACCACAGTTATTTATTTTTAACAGTGAAGTATATTATGCATTGACAACTAAAAATGATTGCGTATGCATTAGAGTATGCTTACACTGGTGCTCTACATCCGCTATGAGCATACTCAAATGCATACGCAATCATTTTTAGTCATCAATGCATAATATACTTCACTATTAAGAACAAACGATTGTGGTACATACAGTGTACCATCCGTCCTGAAAGGGTTAATTAGTTCTAAACGTAGACAATACTTTTTTTTTTTTTTGTTCTTTAAATTCAATTGATATATTTTTAGATCATCATTAGTTTGTATCTTCTACTATAAAAGGAATTATATCAAGTACTTTTATGCTTTTTACAATAACTCATTCATATTGATAGCTATTGAAATCAAAGTTTTAACGACTCACAAGCAAAAAAAAAGTGAAATAGAATTTTAAAAATAGCACCATCAAAAACAAAATCAGGAAGCAAGACTTTCAAATCTATTACACTTAAAAGTTCATCTACTTGTAAAATGTTCTTTTACATACCATATATAGCAAATTGAGTATCTGTATTTCTCTGTATTTCCCATTCTTGTTCACCACCACTATTAAATAGATGATCACCTTTGGCTACTGGAAGCATTGTTAATAAATATGTTTGTGTACGTGTTGATGGTAAGTGATCTTCATCAGCTGTATGGAATTTTTCATTCTGTTCTCGACTTCTTTTATTCACTGATGTCGTTTCAACTTTTTGTCGAGATTTCTTAAATAAATAAAAAAATAATACTTATTGTTTTTTTTATCAATAAAAAAAAAAAGAATCTGAAAGCAAAATCTTCTACCTGATTAATATCATTAGGAGTATTTTCAATTGAAAGTGTTGCAATTATTGATATGATGGAACTCAGAACAATTAAGTGGAAAAAATAACGAGAAAAATACATTATAGATCAGATTTTCTTTTGTATAAGAAAACAACAACAACAACAATAACTGAAAAACAAAAAAAAAGACTCAAAAAATAGTCGAATCTAATTATAAATTGTTCACGTTACACGACTAACAATGATAATAAATGATAAAATAAAATATAGTTATCACACAAACGCAAGACAGAAAGAGAAATAAATCGATTGAATAAGTATAAATCAGAAAAAAAATTAACCTAACCTGAAAAGAAAAAGAACAGGAAAGAAAAAGAATAAGGATCAAGAGGAACGAATGTTTCGAAGAGGAATTGATACAAAACAAATGGGATGTTAAACAATACTGATTATTGAATTAGTCATTAAATATTCTTTAGATCTTTTTTTCTAGAAAAACAATCACTAATAATAAAATTCCAATAATTCCAATTGCTGTTGATTCCGATAATGAACATAATGAAATACAAAATAGTAAAATGTTTTTTTTTCCTTTCTCTCTTGTATGTGTCAAGGACAATAATTCTATTAACTTGTTGAAAAATAGAAGAACGAAAATCTAAAAAAGTATTTTTATAGAGAACAAAAAAAAAGAATAAAATAAACTAAATAGGAAGTTCTCTTTTTTTTCTTATGTTTTCCTCATTTATTTGTTTTTTTTTCTATCACTGTTGTCTGGACGATTTTCTCGATGGAAAAAGATTCAACCTTTCCTTTTTTTTCTTTCTTTCTTTTCTATTTAACTAGTATCGGCAAAGAAACGGTGTGTAAATGTGTATATAAGCCTCACAGTAGTTTCTACCTATCGGAAAGAGCCAAGGAAGCAAGCAAACCTCCAGTGCACAAAAGAAAAAAAAAATAATCTTAACTACACACATAGAATATAGAATCACTTTTTAAAACCATAGATAACAGATATACATGCCCACTTGTCGCAATCAATCGCTACCAAACATATGCAGAAGAGTAAAAAAAAAAGTGACCTTTATTTAAAAATTTTATTGAATGACCTTGCAGTTAAAACAAGAAAAAAAAATAATTTTTACTAAATCAAGGACAAAATGTATCGTTCGACTAATATGTATACTTGAAATTGTGTATAATATAAATGTAATCAAGCGTTAAACGCCTTTATAAATTAGATGACAGTCACTTACGAAAAGAAAAAAAGTAACCCATTCAAAGAGAACACCTGGATATGTAAAAAAAATTAAACGCCGCAATAATTTATACATTAAGCTCGGAAAATAGACAGCTGCGGGTGAATATTTTCTTTCTTCTTTTGTAATCATTGTAATAAAAAAAAGAAAAAACAGATCAGCCGTTAGTATTGGGGATATTTTTTTAATAAAGGTTTTTTTTTTTAAATATTAAATATATCTATCAGTGTTGTAAAAGAAATGAAAGAAAAAATAATGGAATTAAATACCAAAAATAGATAAATAAACAAACAGAACGTATCGGATGTCTTCGACTTTTTTTTTCTCTCTTTTTTTTTCTCTAGTCAAGCTATTTGTTAGAAAAAGAACTCAGACAAAATGGAATAAAGAACATTTCTTAGTCTGATTTGCTAAATAGAGAAAAAGAAAAAAAAAATTTTTTTTGTATTCTTTGAATAATATATTAATATAATGATAGAGGGCAATAGTAAAATAGAGACTATCGAGGACATTGGTGCAACTAGAATGGTGATCAATATAGAAATATTCCTAAATCCACGTTATTCATTTTTTTAGCTTTCTTTAATGATTAAAATTACATTTCGTACGAAGTTCATATTTAAAAGATTCTTCTATGTGTTCAAATCATTTCTGAATAACTTAAAAATCAGTCAGTGAATATTCTATTCAATTTTGTTTGTTTTTTATGATATTTTACGTCTTAAAAAGTCAAATGTTAATAAGATTCCTTTTCTTTTTTTATCATATTACATGATCAAGATAAAAATTAATAACTAAAGATGACATTTCAATTTATACTATAGAAGTTGCACTTATTAATTGATTAAAATTTTAATATGAATATTCAAAAAAAAAAGTATTTATTTATTTTTTATCAAAAAAATAAATAGAAATTATTCTTAAAGTTTATCATCATCTGATCAGAGTTTTTAAATTATTTCAAATTGAATTAAATATTAATCTAAAACAAAAAAAAGTTCCATGTACATTTAATCATGATTTGAATTTCCTTTTTAAAATTAACTAAATGTGTTGGTTAAAAATTTCTTCTTCAGCAAAAAAATTGGTTGATGATTTTATTTTTAGGTTATTATAGCAGGTAGTAAAAATAATGGATCAGTCCAAGTAACATTAATATTGTTTCAAAATAATAATAAATTGAATGAATCTCGATCAAAAGTAGATGAAGCGTAAGTCTGTTTATATGCCAGAAATAACCTAACAAAAACAATAATGGAATAACTCCACCGTATTTTAACGAAATAAGATACTTTTTCTTCCTGACAATAGAGGAATGTTGCAAGTTTTGATTTCTAAATCATCAGTTTATTGACACATGTGAAATTGAGCACAATCTATTTCAATGGAAAAGTTGACGTTTGTTTTTTTTTTGCAGGTACTTCCATTGTTAATCAATAACAGGAAATGCAGAGATCTGAAAATTTTTGCTTTGCCGTATGCAATTTTCTACGCTTTTTCTTTCCATTGATTATTTTGATAAAAAGATTTTTTTCTATTTTTATCAATAGATGAAAATGCTACAGTCAAAACACTTCAGAACTCTATAGTAGCTGTACAAGTACTCAAATAAAATTAAAGTGTAGTTGTACGGATTTCTTCGTTTCGAGAGGATTCTATGAAGCCAGATAAACTAGCGAAAACTTAAAGAATTCAAATAAATTACTTTTAAAAATTGACAAAAATTTAAGAATATGACAATTTGCATAATAATACAGAAACCTGAAAACTATCGTTTATCTTTGTCACATAATAGAAACTTTTTTCTTTGAACTAAATAATAATACAATTAAGCGATGATTACTAAAGTTTTTCATCATGAATCAAAAGCTGTTAGCGCAATCTCTATGGGATTACCATGTGAAACATGATGTAGCTGCTGTTGCTAATCACAGGAAATTGCTTTTTTCCATCTATTTTGTAAAACATCTATTCACAATCCTCTTACTTAATCCTTCAGAAATGTAATCAGGAAATAGTTCATATATTAGAACGAGAAATTATTAATATACGATCTGTATGTTTGAAAGTTCAAATTTCTACTCTATACACTTCAAGACTTCTTTTAGATTGTGTTTTACAATACTGGAAAGTCTCTTCTATTACTAGGAAAAAAAATTTAATTCATACGGCCAAAATACGATGGAGACATTCTATTCTGTTTATTTTTTCTTAGTAGGTTATTTCTGTGATATCCATTATAGAAATAAAATGTTTATATTAAAATTCTATTTTGAAATATAATAAAATCAATTTTATTCTTATCTGTTAAGCAAACAATCAATCAAAATGTAAGAATTATCTTTAACAACATTATCTGTTTATATGATGAGTAGGCACAATATCAGCAGTTACAAATACCGAAGATATTAATATGATATATGATTTAGAACAAAGATTGACATTGATTGATTAAGATTTTTCTTGTTTTCTTTTCGTTAAGTAAAAACAAATGTTCAAATTTATTCAGTGATTGTTCTCTTCTGTCTATTTTAAGTTTACTTTTTTTTTTTAATTAGCAATTAGTATAAATAATACTAAAATGGACTGGCCGATTGATTTTTATCATATGTTCCAATGAAATATAAATAAAAAATAAAAATGACGAAGCTACTACAAAATTTACATGTAAGTAAATACATGAAAATTTTTTATTATTAATATCAATGAATTGAATTGTATTGGAAACAGACTTAAAACCGGAACAGTCGGTTTTTTTATCAATTCTTATACTACTGAAGCTAATCTATGTTGCTCATTTTTATTGATTTTCATGGTCTTGACAGTCTAGAAATATGAGCGTGAGAGTTTCCAACTAACAACAATTTCATTTTGTTGTGGAAGTTCTGTCAATTGTGACAATATCTAGGTATTAAGAAACCTAAAAAAATATGAAGCCTCGTATAAAAATTGAACTTTCTAGCTCATTTTGTCTCTCTATCGGCAGTAGTAGCCTTATACGGGTTGAGAAGCCTTTCAACTTGTGTTAAATAATAATTTTAAATAAGAAAACATCAAACTTATCAGTTCTTGCAAAGAAATTATATTTTTATTGAAGACAACACAAAGTATTGATGTTATTCAATATCAATCCTTGTGAATTAATAGATGAAAAGAGCTCTTCCTTCGTTCTTAGTATTAGCATGTTTGGAATGTGACAGACTAAAATAGAAAGTGTTCTTATTAGAAACTCCAACAATTATATCAATTTGACATTGTATGTCTTCGTGACACTGTCTTAATAGATTAATTGATATGTGCCGGGTTTTTGTCGATGAATTTTTTAATTGAATTGATCGGTCTAGTCCGATTAAAAAAAATTCGATCGATTTCAAGTCTAATTGGAAACGATAAAATAGTTAATTCAGTCGATTATGCAGTTTGTAAAACTTATTGTATATTTCAAAATTAATTTTGTCTTATTACGTTTATTTTATTTCAATTTATCTAAATTAATTGTTTAATTTTAAAAAATATGTTTGTAAATTGTTTATCTCATCTTTCTATGATTGACTCATTGTCTATTCGATTCTATTTTGTACATTTGAAAAAAAAATATTTATTGAATATATTTCAACAAATTATCAACAAAATGAGGTATCAAATTATTTGTTTTACTTATTAATATTCGATTTTTTCTTGATTCTTCATATAATAAAGATTTATTCGATGCATATTGATGATCCTCAAGATCCTCTGATTGAATCCCACCTGTATAGCATTGACTATTAGTAATTTGTGGATTAGGCTTTTTAACAATATGAAAACAACTTTTAGATGTTTCAGACAAACGACAATGAACAAAAAAAAATGAATTATTATTTGGATCACCAAGACCAATACGTGTATAACCTAAATTAGCTGATGTATAACTGATACGTTCATATTTGAAAAGATGAACATGACTAAAATTAAATGAAAACATTTTTAGAAGAATATGTAAAATGACCAATATATAATATTCATACTTAACATAGATATGTTGTGCAAGACTATCTGTCTTACAAAGAGTCCAACCACAAAAACGAATACCATCAAATGAACCAGTCTAGAAATAACACGAAAAAAAAAATCAGAAAAATAACTATTATTGACGTCAAAATATAATACACTTCGATATTTTTTGAAATATCTTGAGAATGAAAGTAGCTAGAAACTTGCAGTTTTCATCATTCGAAAAAGAAATGTAAGGACAAAGTGAAACTTTTCTGAATTATATGAACTATGTATTGATCAAGTAGGTAAATTTTTGCTATAGATTTTGACTAGAAGTTTTCGAAAAAACTTTCTCAAATTAACTATGAGTTTCATTTTAGAGAATCAATAACGATGACATTTCTCTGCCGATTTATGCAAGGCCAAGCCGTCTAACTTATTCCATTCAGGAGTTATAAGCGTTTTACTTGAAGTCTTGAAATCGGCCAATTGATCATTGATCACTCTAACATGTATAGAGTTTGATGTATTCGTCTATGTTGACTTCAATTGTAGTATTTGTTGGTAGTTTTGAAACGGTCTGACGTTAGAGGGTTAGTATAGACAGAGTTACAAAAATCATGATCTAGCTACTTACAATCATATTAAAACTAAAAAACAACAACACATAGTCCAGATAATTCAGCAAAATTTCATTTTTTCCACATTTTCTCTTTCGAATGGTGAAAACTACAGGTTTCTAGCTATTTTCGTCCTCAAGATATTTCAAAACATCACGAGTTACATCATATTTTAATGTCAAGAATAGAAAATTTCATAACTTACAGCACACGGTATCATCACTATGTAATATTTTACATTCATATAACGAAAACCTAATCGAAATGTATCTTTGTCTCCATCGGTAACATGCTATAATAAAACAAATACAAATCTATTCTAATTAATATCATTAACAAACGATTACTTTATAGAATAGTTCATAATTATCATTCATTAATTTTGTCATATAGAGTCCATTCCATACACGTTTTTTATCAACTAATATTGTTGCACTATCAAATTCATATTCATGTTCACCACAACTTGTATTAAACAAATTCCATACACCTGGATGTTGTCGACTTTGATAAGCATCAGGAAAGAAAAGAGCACCAAATTTGAGATACATTGGATCAGAAAGAAAAAGATCTATTGGATCTCGTGTAATATATGCATCACAATCGAGAAATAGTACTTCAGCAAAAGTAGCACTAATAATCGCTGCTGGTTTATAAGGAAAATGTTTCAATAGATTGCCTATACGAGGTTTGTAGACATGAGTATGATTAAGTTGCCAGATTTGTGTATGAGTTCTACATTGAGCTTTATCAAAACAACATATCTGTGAATTGAGTTTAGGTGCCGTATTAAGTAATTCCATCATCATTGTTTCTGAGATTTGACTGGATGAATACCATATCTAAAAGATAAATGATTGATGAAAAAACTTTATATTATTGTTTATATGTGTGACAAAATAGAAGATATTTTATCCAGGGTTAAGACTGGAAGTGCTTTCTTCTGTTCTTCTGCTGTGATTGAGTATAATAATCGAAATTTCATGAAATCATTATTTATATATAAAACTTATAAGTGCAATTGCATTTGAGGTCAAAATGTGAAACTTAAAAAAGTCTGATCACTATCAAATTGTACCATCGAAAACAAAAAAATACAAATAGTTTATGACGTAGTCTTTGTAAGCCGAGAGTGTAATGAATCAAGGCAATTTATATCAGTCTCTATGTAAAATATTGTATCGAATGGTATGAAGACATGTTGGATACAAATTTTTAATAATTTTCTCTATTATAGCGTAATTTATTTCCTTTTTGTACAAAATTAGTACAAAAATTACCATGTCTGTCTGTTTGAGTATCATCAAAGACAGTTTCATAGTTGTTTCAATAAATCAAATACATTAATCGTATACTGGTTTTTCTTCTTCTTCTTCTCCTTCTATTAACTCTGAAAACTTAAATCACCACTGATATTTATGTAAAAGAATCTTTCATTTTTGCACCCGTTATTAGTGATGAAAATTTGTACTGAAATCATTGATCTTTGGTTTCAGTCACTAACGAAACGTATCTAATGAACCTTGATCATGATGCCTAGGATCTTTAGTTATTAGAAAAAGCTACTGAACAATTGTTGATCTTTGACTCCAATTGCTACAAAGTACGAAACAGAAGCCAAAAAATTTCGACTTTAAACTTCTACTCACAATTTTCTTTCGAAAAATCTATATCAATTCTACTAAATGTATATCTGTTTCTTTGGTATAAACACAGTTCTATATATTTTATTACATTAAACATGTAAACTTTGGTTTGATTGTTTATCGTATCAAAATTTTGATTTAAGGCACTACATCAGTCATTTTATTACTTCTTTCATTATTTTTTTAATACAAAAGAAAAAAAACCTTTTTTTGATGTTTGTCTAGATAGAATTATATTTACTTGAACATGTAATTGAGTACCACTATGTTCAATCATTTTTAAATTGACTTTCGCTAATGCTAATTGATGTGGTCCAACAGTAAGAACAATACCTCGACCATGAAAATATTCGTTTGGATAAGGTATAATTTGTTGACGAAGTGTTATAAGTAATTTAGATATAGTAGAAAAAGCATATTCTTGTTCTTGATTTAATGACTTCATTATCTTACATGCATGTGTTGCATTATCATACATCCGCGAATAACTCGCTAAATGTTCATTAATTAGTTCAATTCTGAATGATGTATTGATCAAATGTAATGCAGATGAATTAACAGATGAAGATAGAATAAAGTGATTTGGTGGCTTCCATGTGATAAATATAATGATAAGAAATAGAGGTATTACATATAAACAATAAATCATTTTTATCAATTTTGTATATTTATCTTTCTTTATTAATAGAAGCATAATTACAAAATTAGTAAAATAATTTTTTATATTAACTTGTTGACAAATATATTTACAAAAAAATCTAATTAAAATAAGATTTCGGTTCAATAATCTAATATAATTTAGAAAAAAAAAATAAACAGATGATCAAGTATATTCTAACAAAAATAATTATTTTATTTCAAAAAGAAAAAACAATTTAATCAATTTAATATTATTATCATTAATTAATAAAAACAAATCAATGTATGATCAATAACTATCTTCGAATAAATTCTTATCTGAATAGTGTATGAAGATTCATTATATAAATACTTATTTTATTTCAGAATGAATTATGCTAGACCGTTCAAAAAAAAGACGCAACTATGTTTTTTCACACATGATTCGGTTGAATGAATTGCAAGTGGAGAAAACGAAGCAAGTAAAATTTTATTTTTTATTGGTATAATACGTGATATATGAAAGCAAAACGAAAAACAATATGTTGATATGAAACATGACAACCAAACAAGGTGTTTGATGTAAAAATATCAATTACAGTTTTATAATAAGCAAATAAAAGTCAAACATTAAAAACATTTAGAGAACTAATGAATGATATGGTGGAAACAATTTTTGGTGAATAAAAAAAAAACTACAAGTATTTCATAAAATGCTTCTATCTTCAAAAGAAAAACCTGTAAAAATGATATATAACTCTTCATATTCGTTTTAGAAAATACAATAACTTCATATCATTTATGTTCCTAGTTACTGTTGTGTGACTTTCGATTGTCACACTTTACTCTTATTTCAACTTTCACTTATCATAATAATATTGTGTTTGTATAATCAAAAAATTTCCTAGTTAGCAATGATAAATGGTTAGTTTATCCATTGCCTATCTATCATTGTATAATAATCATCATTGCTTACCTCTTACTGATAACAGCAGTGGAAATATAACACTCTAAAATTGATAAATAAAAACTGTCATTCATATAAGTGGTATGAATCATGATGAGAATTCATTATGCAGTCACGAAGCTTTTTCGGATTCAGTAAAAACCTCAGTAGTAGAGCTTTGGAAAATTCTTCTTATACATTAATATCATCAAAATTGGCTACAGATCATCAATAAGGTACACATTTTGGGCAAACGATGTTGAAAATTTCAAAATCTTCAATTTCTACACATGCCGTTGGTCTTTGTCATAACATTGACATAAGTCTTTCGCTACTTTTTTCATACAGTCTTACAATTTTTATTTTCCTTTTCTCTTTCTCACTCTCTATATTTTCGTCCCATTGTTTGTTGTACAGTAGTAGTTCAAATGTTAGAGTTGTTATTATCTTTCATTCGTCAGCAGAATATTTTTCTTGTACTCCTTCATCTCTCATTTTATCTTTTTTTGTTATATTTGTTCTTAAAATATATTTCCAATAAATTATATCTAATAGCTTTATTCTCATCCCACAAGTATGTGCCTGAAAAACAAATGAAAGTAGTTACATTTTTACTTGCGTCATAGAATGAACTTGAACTAAAAAGAATTGAAAAACGCAACGTAATATCTCAATCATATGTTCATTCGATAAATTACTACAAGGCATTGGACTACCACTTCTAAAAAGAAATTTGACATATCGTTTCATTCAGACATTGAAGAAAAAAAAAACTTTAACATGAGAGAAATAAACTAGAAATAGCAGAAGACAACAAAAAAAATTGACATTTTAGCAAATAGAAACTAACAGAGACAGAAAAAATGAAAGAGTTAATGAAGAAAAATCAATATCGATAATTCTATCCAGTGTCACAGAAAAAATCAGCTTAGTTTGTTCAATAAACAGGATCGATGAGACTGCTGTTATCAACTGGTTTTTGACGATTTTCAACACAAAGACTTCATAAGTGTATCAAAATGAACGAAAGATTATTTTAAAAATATGCTCATTCGGTTGTTTTCTCAAACAAAAATCGAGTATTTTATTTCATTTCTTCTTGCAAAAAGAGAAATACTTCTCTCTAATCTTATTTATTGTACTATACAAAGATGCACTTAAAGAAAAAGCATTAGCTCAAAGGAAAAAACCTTGGGCTCAAACACATGAGACATAATTGAATCACATGTAAAACATTTTCCACTTGGATTTATACTCGGCTTTATACGAAATCTCATTCTATTAGCTATTGAAAAACATATTGATCTTTAACAAACAAATAAATCATATGATGAATATAATATCTACAGATATCCACACATTAAATTATTTTTTCTTTAGATGTAGAAAAGCTTTAGCAAGACTTTCATCTAATATTTATATTTCATAAATTTGTCAAAAAAAAAATGCAAATATTAAATGATTTGAATGAAACAAAACATGAAAACAAACATAATTAAATTTCAGAAGTTAATCTTGATAAATCAAAATTTTGATTTGATGATATCATTTCTAATAATTGTTTTGTTTCTTGAAGAAATGATGATGATGATGATGATGATGTTCGAGGTATTATTAATCGATTTTCAACATTTAACATTACTTTTTCTTGTCGTTGAACTGAAGATCTTAATGATAACGATGATGATGATGATGACATTTGTGCAGATGATGGAAGAATAAATGTATTTGTTTTAGGAAGTGGTTCTCTTTGAAGAAAACGATCAATATTGAATAAATATGATTCATTATCATCATTTTCTATCATAGAAATATTTAATAAAAAATAATAATTTAATAAAATAACTCACTTATTTTAATTGGTTCACATGAAGAAAAATCAGATTGTTGGACAACAATTGAATGAGATCTTTGCTAAAATAATAATAAGAAAATTTAAATGAATAAAGTAATTCTAAAAAGAATTTAAATAAATAACAAACTGGAATTTTTGTTGGTGGAACTGATGATAATGGTAATGATGCTGATGCTGATGCTGATGGTAATGGTGGTAAAGAGAAAGAAGAAGATAAATATTGAGAATTGTTTATACCATATTTTTTTCCATAGAAAAAATAATTTTTTATTTTTGAACAAATAAGAAAACCTTTTAATCGACAAATAAGTAAAATAAGAATAATTGTTCCAATAAGAAATATAATTGAAATAAAAACCATTATTTTTTCTATTGGTTTTTTTGGTAAAATCCATTTTTGAAAATGATTATTAATTTCAAATGATATTGAATTTATTTCATCAATAAGAAATGTTATATTAAAACATTGTTTATTATAATCAAAAGAACATATTTCATATTCAAAAGATTTATTAAATAAATTATTTGATTTATTTATATACATTCGACATTCATTTAAAATTATTTCACTTTGATTATTATTTAAAAAATTTCTTAAATTAATAGTTAAATTATTATTATTATTATTATCTATAAATAAATTTGATTGAATTACTTTTAATAAAGCAATTTCATTATCATTATTTTTAATATCATATAGAATATAAGTTTTGTTTTCTAAACAAAAATCAAATGATTCATCAAGAAATTGATCAGAAATTGAAGTTGATGTTATTATATTAGTTGTTGTTTGAATATCATCAATAAAACTAGTATTATCAATTGTTGTTGTTGTTGTTGTTGTTGTTGTTAATTGATCAAAAACAATAAATTGAATAATTAAATTTGGTAAATATTGTTGAGATAATTTATGTTTAATTTGAATATTTAATAAATAATTATGATTTGATGATATAAGTTGTTGATTTAATTTTAAATAATAAATATTAATTAAAGAAGGAGAAGAAGAAGGAATAAGTGAAAATATATTAAAATAATTTTCAAGTGAAAAAATAAATTTATCATTTGGATAATAATATGAAAAAAGAGATATTTTTAATAAATTAATATTAATTTGAATATTTTTATTAATAAAAAAAATATTTGATTTATTATTTAATTGATAAATATAATTTGAATTATTAAATAAAATATTTTCATAATAAAATGAAATATTTTTTAATAAATGAAAATAACGAAAATAAATTTTAATATTTGTTTGATTTTTTAATTTTTTAAAATTATTATTTTTTAATAATAAAAAAGCTTCAACATTTAATTCAATATCATTATTTATATATGTTATATTATTTTTATTTATAAAACTTAATTCACCAGTTAAAAAATTTATTTTTATTTCATTTATTTTATTATTTGATAAAATTTTATAATAAATTATATCTGATGGATTATTTGATATAGCATGAATTTTACCTATCAAATTTTCTCTTTTATTTAATGTTTCATTTAATAATATAACAAATTCATATGAAGATAACAAAAATTTTATATAATTTTTATTTTTATCTTCTTTATCTTCTATTTTAATAAATAAATTCATTGAATTTATTAATTGTTTATTATTTTCATTATTATCAATAGCATAAATTATAAATTTATATTCATTTTCAAAAGTTTTTTTTTCATTTATTAATGATGGATTATATTTTAATGCTAATTTATCAAAATTATTTGATAAACTTGATAATGATGATTGTGATATTATTATTAATTCAAATAATGATAAACAATTTATTGATGATTGATTTAATAATAAGATTTTATTTTTATTATTTTTATTATTTGAACAATCTAATATATAATGAATTTCACTATTTTTACCTTCATCAATATCTTTTGCACCTTCAAAATATATTCTATATCCATTTGATACATTTTCAACAAATTTTAATTCAATTTCATTTTTAGCAAATTCTGGTTTATTATCATTTTCACTTTAATTAAATTTAAAACAAATATTTAATTTTTTCTTCTTCTTCAAAAAAAAACTTACTCAACAATATGAATTGGAATAATCCAATAAGCTAAACCATCATCAACAAGTATTTGTAATTCAATTTTACAATAAAATTTATCTAAACAATATTTTTTATCAAGAAATTCTTCTCGATCAATCAAATTTTTTGTATAAATATTTCCATTTATTATTGAAAATAATTTTGTTTCAAATTCATTTAAATTTATTAATATTAATTTATTTGATGAATTTGTTAATTCTATAACAAATGTATTTAATGGACTATTTTCTAATAAATCAATTATTGGATAACTTTTTATTAATGGATTTGAATATGAATTTTTTATTATAACATTTAATATACATATTATTATTATTTTCATCATTTTAGATCTTTATATAAAATAAAATAAACAAAACAAACCAAATAAGAATATTTTACTAATCTATCAACAATTCTATATTCTATTCAACAAAAAACTAAAAAGAAAATAATTATCTATTGATTAATATATTCTTCTAATCTTTTTCTTATTTATAGATAGACAAAAAGAAAAAAAACTCTTACCTCTGTTTTTCTTTTGACTTACTTGAAATTGAAAATTAGATTGAATAAAAAGAAAGAATTGTAAGAGAAACCAATCTCAAAGTATCTCATCATTCAACATTAAAACAATATTGAAAAAGTAAAATAACAATGTTTGAACTGAGTTCTTCTTCTTGTTTATTTAAATAAGAAAAGTGATAATATTTATCTTGAGTGAGAAGCACGCACACTTTTTTGTTTTTATCCATCTTGTCTTTTTCATCGTCGACAATATGTATTAACTAGTACTCATTAGTAGTTGCGTCGTTAGTTTTTCTTCGTCATCATATTGTTGTCCGTCTTTATTTTCACACAATACTAAGATCAAACAATATATGTCTCACTTTCTCCATGATTTTTTTACCACAAATGTGAATTGGTAGGTACAACTTACATTGTAAATATTAAGACTCTAACTCATTCCTGAAAAAAGTTATTAAAAAAATGCAGTGAAATGTCCTATTCTTTAGTTGTACCACCTTTCTACCTGACTGAAAATCTGAAAAAAAAAATTGCCTAAAATTGATTATTTTTTTGCTTCTTCTGGATATGTAACTCGAAAGGAAATATTTTAAAACTTATAAGATCACGTTAATTCCTGTATGTCATCATTTTTCACTCGAAAAAAGACAAAAGGTTCCTTAATAAGTTTCTAGAAACCTTTCGGTCTCTAAATCAGACAAAAGAAAAGAGTGATAGCTTGTAAAACCATTTTTTCTTATACTTCGAAGTATTCTCTATCAGATGGTGACACTTTTAAGTGCAGCCATTTACTTTTTGTTTTGATCATTTTTTTCAAAAAAAATGGTACAATAGATACCAGAATGACTCATATATGTATTAGATAGACAGATTTGAAAAGATGCTTACAAAGTATAATGTACATTAGAAGAAAGGCAAGAAAATACAGTTGAACAATAAAAAAAAATAACATGAACACATATGCAAAAAAAATACATCCAATCACAAGTTAATAATCATATGACAAAAGAGAAAAAGAGTAAATATTATTTAATACACGATGAAGAATCAATGTTTAATCTTTGAGATATAATTCATTAATTGATCTTTTGTCTTTTCCAGATCATCACCTGATAAAAAATGATTATTAAATTCGTGTACAATATTATTGACATGATCTGATTGCAAAGTCGATAATTGAATATCGATGATACTCCAGGATTTGTTGTTGAAATTGTACATAAATAATATTTGTAGGTTTATTGTTCCAATATCACCATGTAAATTGATTTCATAGTCATAGTATTGAGCAAAGAAAAATACCAGTGGTGTTACTGTTCGATCGGAAAGTATAGTTAGATCGGAAATAGGGACAAATACACTTATCGACCCCTCCCCCCTAGTGGCGGAGCCAGGGTGGGGCTGGGGGGAGGGCTCAGCCCGTCCCAGGAAAATTTTTAAACCATGTATTTTATTTGCTAACCGGGGCTCAAAGGTCCCTCAGAGGGGGTTGAGCCCCCCCCCCAGCTCAAAATCCTGGCTCCGCCACTACTCCCCCCCTCATGTTTTGATCTAATTCGACTAATTAGCCGCTGGGAAGGTCATTAAAATCATTAAAAGTATTCCTAAGAGTTCCAAAGCAACAGTTTAAGAGATAACCTAATTTTAAAAAAGTTGGAAATAGATGGCCCCAGAGTCGGGTCAAAGTGAGGGGAAAACACCTAAACAATATCAGCAGAAGGAAAATATCTAAGTGAATGAAAGGAAAGGGAGTGGGTGGGTGGGGTGTGGGTATGGGTGTGATTAAATAGAAGAATAACATCCACCCACACCCAGATTCATGACTGTATTCGAATATTCAATACATTTGAGAAAATCTTGTAATTGATCAATATTCAATCCATCAATTATTGGTATAACTGTAGCATAATTATTTTTCATCCGATTTAGTTCATCGTTGAATGATTTATACTCGGCATTATTTAAACCACCAATGATAAATATGCTTTTGAAAGACGAGTTGTTTTTACGTTGATTGAACATTAAAATCGATAGTTTAATCAAATTTTGAACTTCGTGTTGCATATTATTATTGTCTTCTAAATAAAACTTAGATGGATCTATGTGAAACATGTAAGTTCTACTATCATCTAATAGAATCACTACAGCAATGCACGAATACACTCCAGATGTTGATAAAACAGCATCGATTGATGCTTTTCCAACTGGAACATTTTTTATATAAGACATTTCAATATCTAGATAAAACAAAAAGAAAAATTAAATCATTAGTTTTATTTAGTATCAATTGAATTTGTTTCATTCGTTATGGTTACATTTATCTTTACATTGTCGAAAATTCGATTGAAAAGCGTTATTATACTATGAATGGCCGAATTTTGTTAAGCACAAAAAACTTCTTATAGGTGCCTCATTACAAAGATGTCGCTACGAAATCGTATGATATTGTGTTGAAATTGAACATTGACGGTTAAAAAAAGAAATAATTTGATGAATATTATAGACCATTACAATTCTATCATGATCTTCAATTAAATATATTTTGATCTATATTTCTACTTGAGTTTTAACCTTTTACCGCAAAAATTTAACCATTGTTTGAGCTCAGAGAGTACAGTAATATCTCAAAAACTGAAATGAAAATCTTTCTTCGTTCATGAGAAAATTAAATTTTACTCAGAAATTATAAGGCGACATTTTCATGATATAGGGATGTAGAGCGATATGAAAATCGTGGAAATTTCAGTTGAACAGATTTTATTTCAACATATTCCATTGAGTATCGAATGAAGTACCGAGGGAAAATATTTATCACATAAAATGATTTTACTGGCAAGCTATTTATATGAGTAGTCTGTATACCCAGTTTATAGGAAAAATGCATGTATTACATAGAAATTGGCTGTAAAATAGTGAATTTCGACCAAAGGACATGAAAGTGTAGGGAAAATATCATTTTTATACGTATTCGACATTGCTCTATTAAATAGAATAGTTACTTTTCCATTATCATTAACTTTATTTTCTTCGATTTTTTACTCCAAACGGTACAAACGGCGCGCTCTTCACTCATACATCTGATATTCTTGTTGAATGTGTACTTCAATTCCATTTTACTCATGATAATACCTATAGATTGTTAAGGTAGCAGTATATTATATATTTATTGACACAACTGAATGATATCCATCAAATAAGATGCAATTCATCAACGGCATATCTTTTCAAATGAATCTATAGCTTAAAATTTTGCTTATAAAGTGAAGCTATTCATATTTCGCAATACCAGTATAAGTAATCTTGAGAAGATAATATAGTAACCTATCTATTATGTGATAGAAATACTTCAGATATTTTACAAGATATACATAAATCCATTGATATATCTCTGGTATTGATTTTGAAGTTACAATCCTTCATGGAAACAATACTCGTTGAATCCTATAGATCTTACGATACATATCCGTTATCATTTATAGGGATAGATCACATGTCAATCATATATTTTAAGTCGAACATATCGAATAATATATATATTATAAATAGTATATGATTACCAATGAATCGACATCTAGACTATATATACCTCATTCAATAGAAATAAATTAGATTTATCAATTGATGTATGTATCAGTGTTGACACATAAGGGAACTCGAATAAGAAAAAGGAAAATACTCGATACAAGCTCACCTGTTGAGTTTTCCCGCTCCTAGAATAGATAGACAATATAACACAGAAAACATTGAATTATACATCATTTGATAGAGGAAAATGAGATCTATCAAATGGTATATGTATTAGCATTGTCACACCTTTTAGCATCAATCTGAAAGGTAAATTCTTGAATACAAGCACATTTATTGAATTTTTGACATGCTTCACGTCAAACAATAACACAGACAACATCTAATTATATGTCATTCGATAGACCAGAATGAGATCTATCG